TTAAATTGAAATCACCGTTAATATCTTGAATTACGAGCCAAATTAGCTGTCATCTTTGTTATTTCAACTCTTTTATTTTCCACGTTAATTAAATATAATGGGGCACATTAACTAAACTATTAGAATGGATTTTATTGAGAAAGAAGAACACTTCGGGAAGACCAAAACGATGTCCGATGAGTTCCTAAGATCCAAAAACACGTGAGGATGGTGTGAGAAATCGAAGAAATAAGCTCTCATTTCTGGTCAACTATCAACTAAATTCACCGCCATTGCTCTGTCTATTATCATTTCTCGTTACGTTTAGAATCCTCTTGCTAAATACACCATTTAAAAAAAAAAGTTTCAAGCTTATCGCACATATATATTAAATTAATTTATGTTCTCAAGATTTGTGAGGCCTTATTAAATATATCTAACAAAGATTCCGATACCCGTAGAGATTAATCGAGACAAATTATTATATATGTCATACTAGTGTCAAATAGAAATGGTAACTTTAAATCATTCGTAAGCTCCAAAATGATTTTTGATTATTTATTGAAATAGTTGGTACTTTGAAATAATCAAATAAACATTGGTAAGTGGACTCAAGTAAGAGATGCTAATTTTTATAAGAGCCGGTAACTTTTAACATGCACATAACATCTGCAAATATCAATAAATCATTAAAAAAAATTGGTGGTTGCAAAACAACGAAATAAACATTGATAATATTCAATCAAATAAGAGCTAGTAAAGCTAAAACTAGATGATAACTTAATCGGTGAAAAGTTGGTAAATCACTTAAATTAATATCAGTAATTTGCTATTAGACGTAGTAACTTTAATACGATTGTCGTTGTAGCAAATAAATATTAGGTAAGTCTTGGAACAATTGCTAATTTGAAACAATCAAATAGAACTCGGTAAACGGACTCAAATCAGAGTTGGTGATTTCCTACCAAAGTTGGTAACATTAAAATGCCAATAAGCTACGTAAGTAAATATTTGTAATTGATAATAATTTGGAACAATCAAATAATCGATGACACTTCCATAAAAATATTGATACTTTACTGACACGTTACATGCTAAATAATTGTTGACGCTATTATAAAACTGTTGGTAACATGTTACAAACTGAATAAGTCGCCGGTCAAAATTGAGGCACTCACGGGTTCTGAAATTTAACATCTTTAAAGAATTACTAGCATGGAACAATGTTCCACATTTCGACGCACCGAAAACTAGAAATCTGATGATATTGACTGGGTTAGGTGATAACTTGGCATGAACTTAACTGGCTTGTGAAGAAGCAGAAGAAGGTGGTTTCTCGCAGGTAATCACTTGGATTCTGAGTTTTTTTAAGCCCCCTGGTGACTATTAGCATGTGCCTCTCTAGAGGACCACGTTCAGTTGTCAGATGTGATGCTTTTTGTCTTCCCGATTCGTGATCTGTGGTTGTCGAGATGTGTGTTAGTAAGAACACTCTTGACTAATGTGGATCCAACGGTCAAAACCAAACTTATGGAAATGCTAACAGTTCATTTATATAAAAGTTTATAGAGTAATGCGACAAATTCTTAACCCTTAATTACCCAACTATACAGATTAATTTTAGTCGTTCTTTCAAACCCCAATGCTCTGACCACCAGCCCGGTGGTAGCTGGAGCTTTGACTTTACTGGTTTGCATATTCTACCATCTGAACTACTCTTGACATTCGTTCCACTGTTGCATGTGTTTCTGCGGGTCCTCTTTTTCGCATAAATTCACCTTCATCACCCAGCGTTCTTGATGTTTTCTTCACATTGATAGCAATCGCAAAGTCAAAAATCAGCTGTCCTTGAGAAGCCATAGTCGATCTTCTTCTGCTAAATCTTGTCGCAATTAGCTCTTTTTACATGCTGCGGTCCAAATGTTGATGAATGCAGCATGGGGGATCAGCCGCAAACTGGACTCCGTTGAGGCGTAGCTTTAATCAGTGTCCGATTCGAACTTTTTTCTAAAAAGAGTGCATAATTAACATCATAAAAGTACACGTGTGAGGTATTTACGCAAAAAATGGACGTTTGAAAGATTTTACAAAGAAATTATGGAGATAATATGAAGATTTTGAACACTTATATGAAGAGAAAATTATATTCATGTTTGGTGAACAACAAATATATTCACGTTTTCAAGATTTGTATATATACCTTAAATTAATTCATGTTTTCACGATCCGTAAGGGCTTATTAAATATATTAAAAACATGATCGAATTCCCGTAGAGATAGAGGTCAACATATGTAACAACTCTATTACTCCATATTTATCTCATATATTTAACATTAAAAAAAAAACCCTCATTCTGCCTTCATTTAAGGGTAATACCACGAAAAACCTCAAACTGGTACACTTATGACAAATTTACCAAAAACTAATTTTTTTACTATAAAAAATCCCAAAATGGTACACATGTGATAGATTTACCCTAAGCTAATTTTTTGACTATCAAAAATCACAAACTGATACATTTGTGACAAATTTATCATTCGTTAAATTGGATTAACATCACCAAAAACTACAAAATGGTACATTTGTGACAGATAGAGGGTAAAACCCCAAACTGGTATACCCGCCAACTGTCACATTTCATTAAACTCTCAAATTTGATGGTAAAAATTAACGAAAACTATCAGAGGATAAAATTGTCACGGGTGTATAAGTTTGGGGTTTTTGGTGATAAAAAAATTAGTTTGGATAAATTGCCACAAATATACCAGTTTGTAGTTTTTCGTGGTATTAATCCTTCATCTAAATGCATCATTGAGAAAACAATTATCAAGGTTATCGTATTGGGAAATGAACATAGTTGGTTGAGTTGGACTTGAAATGGTTAAAGATGGCCCATTACTCTATAAACTTTTATATAAATGAACTGTTAGCATTTCCATAAGTTTGGTTTTGACCGTTGGATCCACATTAGTCCAGAGTGTTCTTACTAACACACATCTCGACAACCACAGATCACGAATCGGGAAGACAAAAAGCATCACATCTGACAACTGAACGTGGTCTTCTAGAGAGGCACATGCTAATAGTCACCAGGGGGCTTAAAAAAACTCAGAATCCAAGTGATTACCTGCGAGAAACCACCTTCTTCTGCTTCTTCACAAGCCAGTTAAGTTCATGCCAAGTTATCACCTAACCCAGTCAATATCATCAGATTTCTAGTTTTCGGTGCGTCGAAATGTGGAACATTGTTCCATGCTAGTAATTCTTTAAAGATGTTAAATTTCAGAACCCGTGAGTGCCTCAATTTTGACCGGCGACTTATTCAGTTTGTAACATGTTACCAACAGTTTTATAATAGCGTCAACAATTATTTAGCATGTAACGTGTCAGTAAAGTATCAATATTTTTATGGAAGTGTCATCGATTATTTGATTGTTACAAATTATTATCAATTACAAATATTTACTTACGTAGCTTATTGGCATTTTAATGTTACCAACTTTGTGCCAGGACTTTCTAGGAATTTGCTAAGTGTTGGGCAACTTTCCAAAAAAGGCCACAGGGTTCATATTGAAAATGGAGTTTGCACCATCAGAGGTGTTGACAATAAGTTGATTACGACAGTGCAGATGACAAAGAACCAAATGTTTCCCTTGACTCTTCAGATAAAGAATCTCTTGAGTTTTCAAGCGATGATGAAAGATAGCAACTGGTTGTGGCATCTTCAATTCGGGCATCTAAATTTTCGTGGACTAAAATTACTGGTCTAGAAAAAGATGGTGATCGACATGCCTTTTACAAAATTTTCCCGTAATGAATTATTAGGTTCTTTAATTAATGAAAAGAAATTATGGACATAATATGAAGAAATCGATCCTATATATGTGACAAGAGAAAATTATTGTAAGATTTGAACTTTCTTTAGTAAAGTTGTTGGTAAGATAGAACAGATTCAAATTTTAAAATTGAAATGCATGAAAGATAAAATAGAATTATTAATTTAGGCATTTGCCGGTTGATAGAATATTTATGAAAAACTTAATTGAGAATATTTTAGGTAAGAAATAAGTAATTATGATCAAGTATGACCTTTTTGATTTATTTAATATTATAGATGAAGTTATCGATTTTATCCTGACACTTCCAATAATATAATGATTATGAATGTTTTACTTAAAATTCTGAGTTGATTACAAAAGAAAGGGTGTGGCTATGTTTTTTCTTTCAACTCTTTGTGGCTGAAAAGCAAAAAAACTCACCTAAGCCTGTTTTATTTTAGCTTTAAAAAGCAAAAATCAACTTTTTTACTCTCTCGCCAAAAAATGAAATGTTTCTTCAAATATTATAAAATGGTGAAAATTATATTTAGAGATACTTATCAATATTGGACTACTGAAAAAGTTTCAGGTCCTGAGATTGAAAAATTAAAGTGTGCATTGGAAAATTTAAAAAAAAGAAAAGAAAAAAATCAATTTCCAATTAGTTGACTGAAAAAACACTATTCAATATCCAATCACATTACTTTACGTTATTCTTTTGCTGTCTTCTAGCTCTGGTACCTTTTTTGGCCAACTCCCAATCAAAACCACGAATGGGTCTGAGGGAAAAAAAAAAAAAAGAAAAACCAAAACATTTACCATTTACCATTTACCATTCACTTAATCAAACCAATGTCCTTCTAACGCCGTTAAAGCATGGTAAAATCTGTTGAAATTTCAATTTCCCACGTGACTTGGTGATATTGGGCTTTAAATTTCCCACCAGGAGGACTTTGCCTTTGCCCTGTATTGCTGATTCCTCTCAGTCTCTGTGCACCTCCATGTTCTGTTTTTTGGTGACTTCCTTCGTTTCCAGAAAGTCGCCTTCAACCTCCCTGCGTTGTCTGTGCCCTTCTTGTTTTCACCTTGAGAAGTTATAATCGATCTTCCTTCACTGAATCGTCCCAATTAGCTCTTTTTACAGAAGCGTGGTTCTGGTTCTCTTCTTTTGGTGAATAACAGCTGAGAGGATCGGCCCACAGATGGGATTGAGTGGAAGTCAGGCTCTTCTCATCATCCTCACTTTGACTGTAGGACCACTGTAAGTGCTCTAATTCCACTTCTGTTCGAGCTCTTGTTGGCAGATAATGCACAAAAGGCAAAACTTTGCTCCTGGACAACTCTCGAAATCGAAGAGAAGGAGGTGCTCGGCGTCAACCTCAAGACCAGAGGATATGTCTGGAGAAGGGAACGAGGCGTTAAGGAGGGACTTGGAGTCTGCCTCACAAACAGACGATGCCTCTAGAGAAGAGTACGATGTGTTTTTGAGTTTTAGGGGAAGTGACACACGCCTAAACTTCACTGATTGCCTTTATCATAGCATGCTAGATGCAGGAATCCGCGTTTTCCTTGACAGTGAAGAACTTGAACCTGGTGAAAAAATCAGTAAAGTTTTGAATGCACTGAACAAGTCTCGGATCTATATCCCCATCTTCTCTAAAAATTTCGCTTCCAGCATTTGGTGTCTTCGCGAGGTAGAACGCATGGTAGAATGCTATTCAAAATCAAATGGGAAGAAAGATATCATCCCCATTTTCTACGACGTGAACACCGATGATGTAAAGTTGAGAACCGGTTTGTACGAGAACGCCTTAATCGAGCACAAGAAGTCTGACCCCGATGAAGTGGAGCGGTGGCGAAATGCCCTTAAAACAGTTGGAGGGATAATTGGACGGGAAATTCAAGAAAAAGGGTAAATTTCTCCTCAACTTTTTTAGGGTAATAAGCACAATAATTACATTTCATTCGATGAAAGTTTGTCCCTCGAAGGTATAGTTGAATCATGCATTTTTATGTACTTTTCCCCTCCCATGGTAATCACAAAACTTTGTACGATCAAATCTCGTGTTAGATTGTTGAATCGATAGGAACATTGCAATATTAAAATTATACGAAGACATGATTATTAATTGTTTCCAAAAAAAGTGCATAATTAACATTACAAAAGTGCACGCATGATACATCTATGCAAATAATGGACGTTTGAAAGATTTTACAGAATTTCTCTATTATGAAATGTTGGACCTACTATCTAATGAAAAGAATTTATCGACACAACACGAAAAAATTGAACACAATATGTGAGAACAATTTTGCAAGATTTGTACGGAAAGGATAATGTTGAGCTCAGAACCAATTTGTATGGAAAAGCGATATCCAAGCACAGGAAGCAGCTTGGCCCTGATGAATTATAGCGGTGGAAGAAGGCTCTTGTAGAGTTTGCACGTGTAGGGTGTGTTTGGTTCAGCATTTGCAAGGGGCTTTCGAGGCCGAAAGCCCCTTGGGGAAATGCTGAGACGTTTGGCGAGAATTTCCAATGAGCTTTCGGTCGAAAATCAGCATTGGGAATGTTGAAAGCCCAAGGCTGATCCAGACCAGCTTTGAGCTTTCAGCATTTGCCTAATGCTAAAACCAATATTTTTTCTTCTAAAATTACCCTCGCTAATTCTTCAATATTCCAATTTTGCCCCTCCTAACTGTTCATCTTCTTTGGGCTGAGGGCGACCGGCGAAGGTGGCTGGCCAAAGCTGCCTGAGGCCAAATCGGGCCGGCGAGGTTGCCCGACCTCGGCGACGGCCGCCTGGGGTCACGCGACCCCGGCGAGGGCCACCTGGGTCGCGTGTGACCCCAAGCGATGGCCGCTGGGTTGCGCGATGGGCAACGGTCATCGACGAGCCAGATCTAGCGCCAGCGGCCGTCACCCAAGGTCAGGCCGCCCGGTCGGGCGACCCCCAACGAGGGTCGTGTAGCCCCGTGTGGCCATCGCCTGCAGTTGGGTGACCCTGGCAACGGCCGCCTGGGTCGCGCGGCCCCAGGCAGCCGTCGCCGAGGTCGCCCCTAGGTCGCCCGACCTTGGGCGACGGCCGCTGACGCTAGATCTGGCTTGCCGGCGGCTGTCACCCATCGCCAGCTCCGGTGAAGGGTAAGTTTTCTTTTAATAAAAAAAATCCCAAAACCTTTTGTAAAATAAGATTTGCCAAACACTATTTGGGCCAAAGTAGTTTCACAAAGGATTTTTTACCAAACGCAATTTGCATTTTCCCAAGAGGCTTTAAGTTAAAGATAATTGCATTCCCCCAAAGCCCCTTAGGAATGCTGAACCAGACCCACCCGTGAAGGGATGGGATCTTATAGGCAAAGGGGAATTTTCCTGCACTTATTCTCAATAACAACAATTTTCCTGCACTTTTTCTCAATAACAACTATTTAATGAAAAGAATTTACAGCTACAAACTGCATCTGTCTGGAAGAAACTGTGTGTCCAAATTTTCGAACTCATAGCCCCGTGTCATTACATTAGAAGATAATGGAATCGAGACTGAAATTGTGCTCGAACCTACAAAGGAAATGAGGTGTGGGTGAAGGTAACCTATTTCTCCAACCCGCAAAAAACTATGTCAAACCAAAGCTCCAAAAAAATAATTTCCAATACAACTGATTATAATGCTTAATTTCCACTTGGGTAAGTTGTTGAAATGTTGAGTTATGTGTCCACATGTTCGCTAGAGTCTTGTAGTCTATCATATCTTTGATTGACACGAAATTTTCACGCTTTGCTGCAGCCAAGGAGAAGAAATTAAATCGATTGTTGAACAGGTTTCCAGTAAGCTTAAAACTAGACACATGATTGTGACTAAATATTTGGTTGAAGATAATGGTCAGGTGCAAGCCATAATGAAATTGTTGGATGTTGGCTCTGATGGTGTACATTTCGTTGGTATTTATGGCTTGGGTGGGGTTGGAAAAACAACTCTTGCCACAGTTCTGTACAACAAATTATCTTTTCACTTTGAAGCCTGTAGTGTCCTTAAAGACGTTCGAGCACATTGGCAACCTCCTGGTGGTCCTTTAGACTTGCAGAAAAAGCTCTTATCAGATTCTGTCAGCTCCACGATTAGTGACCAAATTAAAAATGTTGATGATGGAATCAAGATGATCGAAAGAGTGTTTAGTAATAAAAAAGTACTCATCGTCCTTGATGATCTAGACAAGATAGAGCAACTCGAAAAACTAGCTGGAAATCCTAACTGGTTTGGTTCGGGTAGTAGGATCCTCATCACAACTAGGGACAAAAGCATCTTGATGACTCAAGTGGAATCATCTAGTAAAGAGGTCCTACATCAACCCAAAGGGATTTCGCATTATGAAGTTTGTGTAATGGAAGATCATCTAGCACTTCAGTTGTTTTGTAAGCATGCTTTTAGAAGTGACTCTCCTATAAAAGATTATGATGCTCTTTCAAAAGATATTGTTCGTAAAGTGGATAGGCTTCCTTTGGCTGTTGAGGTGATAGGTTCATCTCTTTATTACATGGGCTTTGCCCTGGAGTCACATGGTGATAAAAGAAAGCTATTGGAAGAGATGCTGAAGCAGTTAGATGAAGGTCCTGTTAAGGGTGTCCGAGATGTATTAATGATAAGTTATGAAGGATTGGAGAAGAAGCAAAAGGAAGTGTTTCTGGATATTGCTTGCTTTTTCACCAACGTGGACCAAACATATCCAGTTATCATGTGGAATGACTGTAATTACCATCCTCACACTGCAATTCGTGTCCTCCACCTACGGTCCTTGATAAAAATTAGAGATAATAAGTTTTGGATGCATGACCAATTGCGAGATCTGGGAAGGCACATCATCCTTGAAGAATATCCTCGCAAATTTAGTAGGGTGTGGATTCATGAGGATGTTGTAAAACTACTGGAGAGAAAAGAGGTAAAATGGATGAGTATGTCGCATAATTTTTATTTGGTAGTAGAAACTTGTTGAGTTTTTTCTTTTATTTTATAGTTAGCTTTGTTTGACTTTCAATTTGTCTTGCGAGTGAGACAGCTCTCTCTCAAACATCTGGGTCAAAAAGTCTTGTAAATTGGTAGAGAGATACCAGATAGATACCTTAATAGTTAGCTTTTTTTTCTGGATATGTAGAACAGAAAATAGTTTTCTGGAAATTCTGAAGCAACAAACCGCTGGTTCAGATGCTGTCCGAGAAAAGTCAGTGGAAAACTACTTGTATGAAGAATTTTTAAATTACTTTCAAACACAATTATAGAGAAAGCAAAAAACTATGAATTTTGGAATTGATATGCTAATTATATTTCTTGAAAAGAAGAAAATGGGAAATGGATAAATTATTTGTAAGATATCTTCGAATGGAAGCTGAAATATTCGTTGATGGTGTGAACGTAAACATGTAAGTCTACTTGCTGGAAGAAGGCGTGTGCCATGGTAGTTACCCCGGTGGAGATATTGTCTACCAATGTTCATATGCTTCGTTTCTTTATAGCTTTGTAAGAGTGTTAAGTGTTGTGCTCTCAATTAATCTTGAGTCTTTGTTGATAGGGAAATCAAGATGTAGAAGCACTAAGCTTGACTCCGGATGGTTACAGCCGTAACATTGCACTTGAAGAATTAGCTTCTCCACCAAATCTAAGGTTCCTTCAAGTGAAAGGCATTGATATTTTTGGCAACTTCAAAAATCCTCTTTGGCAAATGCGGCAAATGTGGCAAATGAATTTCCATCCGTATAACTTTAATAATTTGGTCATGCTCGACCTTTCAAATAGCGATATTGAAGATGGCTGGGGTGGATGGAGCAAAATGAAGGTATGATATGCCTAACTCTAATATTTCTTTCTTCATTACCTCGTTCGCTATGATAGAAGTATGATATATATATATATATAATGGTTGGATGCACTCCCCAATCCCATCTAAGCTTAGTATATATTTTGCATGAGTAACATTCAATATCTTTTTATAAATCAAAGTAAAGAACAATTATGTTCAACAGAAAAAATGTTTCGTATGGTTTATAACTCTGCTTTTGTAGTTCCGAAAGTTGCTTAGGCTTTGGAAATGGTGTATTCCATCGAAAGTAAGTGCCATATTGCTTCAATATGCATCAGATATGATTTGAATGACGTAAAGTTTGAGTCAAGTTTAGTAATACAAAGGTTAAATGGGATAAAGTTTGAGATAGGTAACACTCAACTTGAACAGCGTAAACGATCACAAGTTTATTTTGAATAGCTAAGTTGATTATTTGAATGAAGGTAAGCTTGACCTTCATAATACTCGATTCAAGTGGCTCACTAGCCTAATTTAATAGTTAAGTATCTGCTTATGTTATGTTTATAATTGTATTAGTGAAATGTAAAATAAATGAAAATGAAACTAATCTTACTTTTTTTATTTTACTTGAGTTAATGAGCGAAGGCTCGAGATTTAAATTGAATCTAGTTTGTAACTAAGGGACAAGGGACAAGGTGTAGGAATTTTTGTTGAATAGTTGAGGTATTGCAAGTGTAATGTGCATGGAACTTTGGTATTGCTAGTTGGTCTCTTGTGTACATGACCAAACATCCCAAGCCTACCGACTTATACATGCAATTTTATCCCTGCATTTGTCAGAAATATTCTTCCTTGGACATATTTGCGGCCGCAAGCTTCAACTAATTATACTAAACTGGAGACTTGTAGAAACATTAGTCCTAGAGGAGTGTAGGCTATTCTAGAAAATTTATCAGTACTTCAATTGAAGCACGTCATCTTGCTTAAATTTTATGTCTCGTTGTATGATTTCCGTGTCATCTAGACTGAGAAAATCCATTTGTTGATAAATTTCTTCTTCAATTATCCTATTTCGAACTTCTGTTTCTTCAACTTTCTCTTCTTCAACAAACTCGTCGACAGTTGCACTCATGGTCTGATTCAATCTTTTACCATTTTCTTCTTCATCAAGTTGTGCTATTTGAATTACCGTAAGATTACATTGAGTTATAAAAATGAGGACAATTGGGTTAACTTTCTCCCAGATATATATCCTAGGATGATTGATGTGTTTCATTCTCTTTAATTAAATTTCTTTTCCAGCAGGTGACAGAAAAACTGAAAGTTTTGGATTTAACCGGTTGCAAAAAATTGACGAAGACACCTGACTTCTCTAACTTCACGTCTTTGGAGAGTTTAATTCTTGCTCGGTGTCCCAAGTTGATCACAATTGACCGCTCCATCGGTAAACTTAAATACCTGAAAACTTTGAATATCAAAGGGTGTAGTTCTCTTAGGGAGTTGCCCGAAGAAGTTGGCTCTCTACATTCTTTGACAGAGATTGTCATGCCCCAAAATTTTCAATCGTTGAAGCTTCCGGAGAGATTTGGCGAACTGAAATCTTTGTCGAGCTTTATATTAAACAACCACCCTAGAATTAGCCAACTTCCAAAGTCTATTGTAGGGTTGGTGAAACTCACATGCTTATCTTTACGTGGGTGTGTGGGAATAAAGGAGCTTCCACCCTCCATTGGGGAGTTACAAATGTTGGTTGAGTTGGATGTATCAAAGTCAGGAATAGTCATACTACCCGATTCTGTTGGAAAGCTAAAGAAATTAAGATTGATGAGGCTAGCTTATACGGCGACAACAAAGTTTCCTTCTACTATTGGACAGGTGGAGGCACTTGAAGAGCTAGTTGCCAAGAAATGCTGGGACCTGACCGATGAAAACCTGGAGGAAATTGGGAAGCTATCCCATTTGAGGATATTGGACTTATCATTTACTCGTGTTTGTAGATTGCCTGAGGTGATAGGTGGTCTCTCTCATCTCCAAACACTTGAATTGGGTTCGATTGAGCTTCAACAAGTGACAGCTCTTCCATCAAGTTTGAGAAGCCTTTCGGTTCATGCCGTTAACATCTCTTTTAAGCATAGCCCCTCAAGCCTCGTCAATCTAGAGAATCTGGAATTAAATGAAGTAAGCGCTTTTTTGAAAGAGGAACCTTACTCAACTTGGAGGAACGATCCGCCAAAAATGGAAGAAGCTTGGAACACAGTGCAACCGATCCATCAGCTTCCATCTCGTTTGTCAACCTTGAAACTCAAGGGCATTAGTCCACTGCCATGTTTTGGCAACTTAGAAAGTTTGTCAGTTTTGCATGTTAGTGAATTTCCAATGCAATGCTTACATGTCTCTGAAGGCCTAATACATTTGAGGGAACTGAAAATAAGTAGATGCAAAGACCTCAGAGAAATAACTAATCTGTCACGCTTGGAGAGTCTACAGCGCTTGGTTCTGAATAGCTTGAATAACCTAGTTAAGATTCCAGGTTTGTCGGAACTCAAATCTTTGCAGCGCCTCTGTCTCTCCAGATGTTGTTTGATAGAAGAATTACCCAACTTATTGAAGTTGGATAAGCTACAATATCTAGAGTTAGAAGGTTGTCCTAATTTAAGAGCAATCAGGGGAGTCGAGGGCTTAGAAAGCTTGGAGTTAAATAGTGATGGTCGCACTGTCCTGGAAAGATTGTTGGATGTCTCAAGAACGACTTGGCTTCCCCACAAATTACTTATGTACGATGTGTTCTTAAGTTTTAGGGGACCAGACACTCGTTATAACATTATTAGTTTCATTGACTATAGCCTATATGGTAGTCCAATTTCTATTTTCAGAGATGATGATGAATTGAGCCCTGGTGAAGGAATTGGGGAAGAGATTCAACAAGCACTCAATAACTCTTATATCTACATACCTGTCTTCTCTAGGAACTACGCTTCCAGTCAGTGGTGTCTACGTGAACTCGTGCATATGGTAAAATGCACGTCAAGGTCAAAGGGCAAAAGAAAAATCCTCCCCATTTTCTATGATGTGGAAATTGATGATGTTAAGCTCAAAAGCAATTTATACACAAGCGTCCTAGACAGGCATCGTGAGAATTTCCCCACCGAAGTGGATGTATGGGAAAAGACATTGAAAGAGGTCGCGCATATGGAAGGATTGGACATGAAAACTGACAGGTAATTGTTCCCATTTTGATTCATTATGACAATTAAGTCATTCAATTGATATAAGCAGCATATAGAATTTCAAGTTACTATAGTGCAGCCTTTTGCATCCAAATAGCCGTATACTCAAGCTGATTCTTATTCTTTAGGATAATTTATGATCTTTAAGTTAAAAAAAGAGGTTTCTTAAACTTTAGCACGGGTCATTCTACTAGTTTGACGGCCAAATCTAAAACAAAATTGCATGAATTTATAGCCAAGAGAACAAAAATATCTGCACTCTCCAAACGACCCAAAAAAGCATATGAATTTCTATTTGAGGAATGAAAAAACCTACCGTTAAGTTTTCCATCCATACAAGTTGACGAATTCGCTCGAAATAGTCACTTTGGAAAAACAATTTTCGGTTTGGGACAAAAAGAACTCGATTCAAGAACTACAACCCTTTTAATTTGAGGCTGCTCATTTTTTCTCTCTTTCCTAGTTGAAAGATGAGAGTCATTGATTGAGAAGTCCAATACATGACGTCATTATTGATTAGTGAGAGACGACGTTGTTTGGCCTTGTTGACGTTTGCTTTGCTGACATGTCCATTGTATACGTCCATACCATCAGCCACGTGAAATGCCACATTAGCTTGCATGGATAAAAAATTTGATGTTGGACGTTGTTGTCCATTAAGTAATAGTTTGTGTACTTTTTGCGTCATTTCAAAAGTGGAGCTGCGGACGTAAGTTCATCGTTTAAAGATAAAGATGAAGAAAATGCTCAAAGAGAGAGGAGCATCTCCTTTCATCATGTTTTAATATAATACTACCAATTTATTTTCTTTAGAATATCTCAAAAAATAAGCTGTAAGAAGATGCCCTCGTTTCTCAAGATTTTGATTGGAACCCGCATCTAATACTACCAATTATTTTTCTGTACAGATTGAAATGTCGTTTCAGATAGGTCCCTGCACAGTTTCATCCATTTCATCAAGGATAGCCACTTTGCATTGGTTCCTGAATTTTAGAGCATCTTAATTTCTTCAAACGAGTAATATCCGATTATAATTTAGTGTAGCTGTAGATGAATGGGTGCCAATACTTAACCGCTGGAGTAAAAAAATTATAAGTTTTTTTTTTACATATTATATTTACAGAAGTAGATCCCTATAGTTTACCATATCCGGCGGACCTCTGTGGTCGAATAGAACTGCATAGCAGTACAGCCGCACATCTTTATCGTCTACTTTTTCATTATTTTCTTTCCTTTTCTGTACTGGGTTTGAGACATCATATTGGCAATTAGATTGTAATTTTGATATCCTTTTATTTTCTGCATGTCTAACTAAAATGAATTGTCCTTAACCTGTGAATAGTTGCAGCGGCGAAGATGTAGTTCAGAAGATTATCGCAGAGGTTTCGAGAGCAAACAAATTGCTAGATGTCGACTCCTGAAGCCTTCTTTTGGTTTGTTGTCATATAGAAAAAGGAAGGATTTGCTTTCTATGTAATAAAATTCTGCACAACTGCATTCTGTTGCTATTATTTGGAGGATCTAATGCTTTGGTCCATTACTTACACAGTTAGCATATTTGCGTGAGTGAGAATATCAATGAAGTCCCATGCTTTATCGGAGGGTCGGTTAAGCTTTCACATTTGTCTTTGCAACGGTGCCGGGAGATAAGGAGCTTTCAAACTCTATTGAAGGGTTAGTTAAGGTAATATATCGGCGTTTATATAGCTGATGTGCAACAAAACAAAGGATCTTTCGTTCTCAGTTTGGCAAAGTCAGAATCGCTGGTTGAGTTAGTTTCGCAACATTTAAGGATGGAGAAATTGTCCAATCAATTCTAGACTATTGTACAAATGCCAATTCAGTCCAATTTTACTAATTTAGTCCTAAAATTTGTGCAAAAATCCAATGTAGTCATTTCGATCAATTTTCGCTGAAAATTATTGACGTGGTAGTGTGCTATGTAGGAAGGTCGGCAATGACTCGACCTCCATGTCAGTCGGAAGGATTAGATTGGAATTTCATGCAAAATTTTAGTATTAAATTATCAAAAGTGAAAAGTTTATGATTGAATTGACATCCGTCCAATAAATTTATACTTGATTGGGTATTTTCCCCTTTAAAATTGTTGATCAACCTAATTCAGCAGGAAATCGAAAAAAATTTACTAATACTTCAACCAACCCAGATACCAACTTTCCAAGCTTTTATTTGTCACAATTCTTTTCGGAATAGTGATCTTTTTTTTCATCATAGAGCCTTTTAAATGCGCAAGTAAATATCCACGCCCTCTCACTCTACGGAAGAAACAAAATGCTTATGATTATTGAAAATCAGATTAATAGATTTATGAGGCATGAACATTCTAATAATCTTACTTACCTTACCAAAAAAAAAAACATTCTAATAATCTTACCTTACCAAAAAAAAAAAAACATTCTAATACATATATGATGGGACAAAGGCATTATTTGTTGGTAGTTTGTTTGTAAAACAAATAATGAGGTGCCTTGTCCCACATCGAAAGGATGTGACTACGCACGTGGACGAGATTTGGCACTAATCAACAATCATTTTTATTTATTTATTAAATTTCGAATTTATTATTATAAAATAACTGTTTTATCATATTGAAACAGTGTGACCGTTCGCAATAGAGTGGTGGTTATTTTTTAATAATTTAATTTCGAATTTTTTTTTTCTGCCTAATGGTAATTAGGCTCTCTCACAACCTTTGGAAGGTTATGTCTGTTCGGACATAATTTCTTTACATTCGAAAGGTTGTGTTTGTTCAACGTATAAATATTTCAACGTTTTTGTTCATTAAGAAGAACAACCATTTTTTCCATTTCTTCCAAGAGATATACAGCCATCTTTTCTAATTGTTTTCCTAGAGAGACCTTAGAGATATACCGAAATTGCTATTCGGTATTCTCAATCGAGACTTTGTTGTATCTTGGAGGAAATTTGCCGGTGACCATTAGCAACTTCGTGGAGCAAATAATTCCTTAAAGAAAGTGATTTCACGCCTCAAAGTCTGACTTCTTTGTTCATCTCGATTCACGTTGACATTTTTCCCCAACAATTTTAAGGAATTATTTTGCAACAATGGAGTCAGAATGGATCAAAGTCAAGTTTTGTTCGGCGCATTCGTTCTGGTTTGCTGCCATGCAGTTTTGCTCGAATCGGTCCGTAAAAGCACGCTCTTCTCTTGCCGTCAAAATCGGCCATTGGACGCTAGTGATTTATCATCACCCACCATTGATATCTCTTACGTACAAAATGGTATAGCATCACTGGTGGGGGTGAAGGATATTATGCAAACTGAGGATGGCATACAGGAGTGGTGGAAAGGCGATTTGCCCAGGAAAGAATGATGCACCTAGGGGACCGGCGGACCCGTTATGCGACTGGACGAACCGGCGAGCTTGAAGTCAACGATGTCGGATTGAGCTCAAATTTGATCGGCTGAAGCGAAACGGCGTGCTGATCAATACTCGTAGCCTTAGGCTACGACTAACGATCAATTTTCGCGATTCGAGGTCGTTTAGCCTAATTTCTATCGCGCTTCAGCATCAATTGGTATCAAAGCACAGGTTGCTTGAATCAATGGTTGAACAGAATCGCGGTCGTGGACGGCGGGCTCGTGGTGGCCTGGGGCGTGGAGGCGTTCCTGAAGCAGACGACCAACCGCGTCTAAGAGATCTGCGAGACGTAGAAATTGAAGAACAGAGAAGACGAATCCAGGATTTGGAGCGACAACTTGCGGAGGCGAGGTTGGGCGTTCAATCTGAAGAAGAAGCAGAATCTGAGGATCCATCCGATGATGAAGAGGAGGACGTAAACCCTTTCGGGGTTCTGAACCAGAGGCGGAATCGAGGAGTACAACCTGGAAATCAGCGCTCTTCTCAAAATTTCATAATGAAGATCGAGATTTGCGAGTTTAATGGTAAGGCTCATCCTGATGAGTTTATTGATTGGTTGCATACGGTAGAACGGATTTTTGATCTTAAATACCTAACTGAGGGGCAAAAAGTGAAGTTAGTGGCTATTAGGCTGCGAAAACATGCTTCGATTTGGTGGGAACACGTGAAAAAGCAACGTGCTAGAGAGGGGAAGCCGAAGGTGGATCGCTGGGATAAGATGAAGAAATTATTGCAAAAGAAATTTTTGCCTACCCATTATAGGCAAGAGGCATTTATCGAGTATCATAACGTCAAGCAAGGCGATAAAACAGTTGAGGAATTTACAGAAAAATTTGATCGCTTGCGGATGCGTTGTGATGTGGCGGAGGAAGACGAGCAGACGATTGCACGATATCTGGCAGGGCTGCGATATGAGATCTCTGATGTTGTCCAATTACAGCAGTATTTGACATATGATGATGTGTGCAGACTAGCCCTAAAGGTGGAGGGGTATTTTAAAAGAAAGAGCAGTAATTCTAAGTGGTCAAGCAGCAGTTCCAAGTGGTCAGATAAAGAATCCCAAGGAAAAGCGGGAACATCTGCAGTAAATTCGACACTAGTTGCAGTTAAGGATGCGAATTCTAAACCTGCATCCAACGAGGGGCAGAGTAGTGCTGGAACTAGCAGGGGAGGAACTGCAGCCAAGTGTTGTTTCAAGTGTCAGGGATTCGGGCATTTTGCTGCTGATTGTCCGAACCGACAGATTGTGACGCTTGTTGATAATCCAGTTTTTTATGAAGGCCCAGTTTATGATGAATCTGAAGGCGAAGAAGAGGATGCGGATGCGAAACAGGAAGAGATTATCTATGCTGATTCTGGTGAGTCCCTAGTCGTTAAAAGAATATTAAATGTTGCTGTAGCGGATGATGAATCATGGCTTAGACATAATATTTTTCATACTAAGTGCACTAGTAGAGGAAAAGTATGCAGCATGATAATAGATGGTGGGAGTTGCGAGAATGTGGTGTCCACGACTATGGTGGAAAAGTTGGGGTTGAAAACAGAAGATCATCCTCAACCATACAAGCTGTCGTGGCTTAGAAAAGGGAATGTGGTGAAGATGAGCAAAAGGTGTCTTGTGCAATTTTCGATTGGAAAAAATTACATCGATGAGGTGTGGTGTGATGTAGTCCCAATGGATGCTTGCCATATTTTATTGGGGAGGCCGTGGCAGTTTGACAGAAAGACACAGCATGATGGTTTTAGAAATACCTATACCTTCAAGAAGGATGGCCGAACCATTACCCTAGGTCCTTCAGATTTGAGAAAGGAAGTGAAAAATAATTTGCTGTCCAAGTCAGAATTTCTAGAAGATGCAGTGAACGCGCCTGAGCTTTTTGCCATTGTGGTGATGGAGCGGAATTCTGACAGTCTCGAAATTCCTACCCAAGTTCTGCCCTTGCTTGAGGAGTTTGCTGATGTCGTACCGGAAGAGTTGCCACCTGGATTGCCGGGTGAGCACAATGTTTCTGGAACTTTTAATGTAGCAGATTTGTCACCTTACTACACTGAAGAGGAAGAAGACCCTGAAGAGATTGACGACAATGAAGACGAAGCAGATTCGAGGACGAATCTTTCTCTAGCAGGGGAGGATGATGCACCTAGGGGACCGGCGGACCCGTTATGTGACTGGACGAACCGGCGAGCTTGAAGTCAACGATGTCGGATTGAGCTCAAATTTGGTCGGCTGAAGCGAAACGGCGTGCTGATCAATACTCGTAGCCAAAGGCTACGACTAACGATGGATTTTCGCGATTCGAGGTCGTTTAGATGGGTTTTTCTATTTTTTTAGTATTTTTTATGGGTTAATTTAGTAAAGGGCAGTTTCGTAATTTTGCGTTTTGATGTTTACTAATCCTAGTAGGGTTAGGTTTGGGGATATATAAGCTTGTTTTAGGGTTTCTTTTTAGCAGACTTGGATATTTTGATTTGATAATCATATTTGGAGGACGAATTGTTCTTCTGTCGAATTTTCTCGTTCAGTCAATTTTTCTATCGCGTTTCGGCATCAAAGAGACTTTGATTTCGTAGGTTTCGTTTGGGAGGAAGTCAATGTTGAAGGCATATGTGGAGATACCTTGGAACATTCGGTTACACAGAAGTTAGTCTTTGTTCAGTGTGGTCAAGGCAGGAAGAAGCACAATAAAACATTGTCGTCGTCATCTAATCCAATCCAACATTCGCAATGATGGGCATTGGGATAACGTCTCATCTCGGGTCGCTATGCGGTTGTTTTTGCACGAATGTTGTCTCGTTGGGGCGACCCAAAGACGGTTGTGGTGTCGAGGACGATGGTTTCGATAGTGATGCCAATAAGGCTTTGATATGGGGAGAAGATTGCATTCTGGTTCTTCACATGGGCGGGGCACCAGGAAGATTACGAACACGAGCCTCAGCCTTATAACGCAATGATCGTCATACTTTCCAGTACAAAGTACAAGGCAAGTAGTTTTGAATTGTCTGTGACCTGTTGGATC